TTTAACATCTACATGAGGCTGCTGGGTGTGGTGATCTGATGGTTTGGGGTGAGGTATCATCAGTATGCTGATGATACCCAGCTTTATATCTCCTCCCTGGGCTGTCTGAGTGATGCCGTGGATGTCCTATCTCAGTGCCTGGAGGCTGTAGGCACCTGGATGGGGCACAATGGGCTCCAGCTCAACCCAAGCAAGACTGAGTGGCTTTGGTTGTTTGGGCCTCCCAGTACCAAGGTTCTTACATCTTTGGTTCTGGATGTGATAGTTCTGCCCCAGACAGACCCGGTGTGCAATCTGGGGGTCTTCTCAGACTCACAGCTCCTGCTGGAAGAGCAAGTGGCAGCCATGGCTAAGAGGACCTTTGCACACCTTCTGGTTGTGCACCAGTTGCACCCATTCCTGTACCAGGAGGCTCTACCCACTGTCACTCATGCCCTTGTGTCATCCCATTTGGACTGTTGCAATGCACTCTACATGAAGAGCATTCAGAAGCCTCAGCTGGTACAGAATACAGCTGCCCAGGTTGTAAATAGTGTTAGCTACTCAGCACATGTAGCACCACTGCTTTGGGAGCTGCATTGGTTGCTGGTGTGTTTCCAGGTGCACTTCAAAGTACTGGTGATCACCTATAAAACCCTTCATGGCTTGGGACCAGGTTACCTTAGAGACCTTCTTTTCCCAGTTGTTTCTACCCATCCATTCCAGTGTGGCAGGATGGGCATGCTCTGGGTCCTATCAGCCAAGGAATATCGGCTGGCATGGACCAGGAGACGTGCCTTTTCTGCTATGGTGGCTGCCCTCTGGAACATCCTCCCTCCTGACATTAGGATGGCCCCGACCCTTTTGGCTTTTCAGAAGGCCTTGAAGACCTGGCTTTATGTCTGGGCCTTCACACACTCAGGGCCCCGTTTCGTGATTGTGGTGACACCACAGTTTTTAAAGATCTCTTAGCTGTATTTATATTTCATTTTCTGTATTGTTTTAATTGTTTAATTGTTTTTATTGTTAGCTGCCCAGAGTAACTGGTCTGTGATAGGTGGCTATATAAATTTAATAAACAAACAAATAAATAAATAAGTACAATAAAATGTAAATAAAAATAAAAGGGCTTGATAAGATGTCAGAATCTGGTAACATTGTGCCTTTCTGAATGGGAAGGTGAAAGTGGTAAGCAAGAGGAAGTTGCCATGTGGTGGCTTTTATGGTTACTTTTGTTGTTGTTATTATTATTTATGAAAAATAAAATTATTATATCAGATTACAGAAGCTATTCAGTTTGATCTGATTACCGTAGCATAGAAGTCCTTAATTAAATAAGATACATACATAATCAATTGGAATTTCTGAAAAAAATATTAGCTCCCAGCTCTCAGGTTCATGACACAGTCATATGCCTGATAGGGAGGAAGCTCATTTGCTTCTGCCTCCAACACATCTGCCAAGTCCGTATTTTTTGGCATGGCAAGGAGTCAGCAAACCCCACATGCATGTCTGAAGGGTGAGTGTGGAAAGTGTGCAAATGGGTGCTGTTGACATTTTGGGGACAGAAGACTCCCAGGGCACATTTGGATTCAGTCTTTGTAGCCAATGGGGACTTGTAAGGAAGCAGCGGCAAGAATGCTGTGTGATCTTTTACTGTCAGTTAAAAGGGTGAAAAAGAGGAATCACTTAGGCTAGAGGATGAAACAAGAAAAGGTGGGAGAGAATCTACCAGAACCGATGGTCCCTGTTCCAGTGTTGACTGAAGACCTTGACAGGTATAGAAATCACACCCCTCTGAGATGCCTGAGTCTACATGCCTGACATAGATACAGTATCTGCTTTCTGAAAGCCATGGCTCCACACCCATCAGTTCCAGGTTTACCTGAAATAAAAAGCATCATGTGCAGCTTAGAGTTGGAGGACTGATTAAAACCACCAGTTAATCAGGTTGAACCCACCTAAGGGATCAGAAGATCATATGCTCATCTCTAATCAAATCAAATCTTTATTATGGACATAGACCAGCATAGTGCATGTCTCTACATTCTGGTTGGAAAAACAGAAACTAGTTAATTTAAATGTGCTTGGGTGTGGATTTCTTCTTTCAGAATGTTTTCTCCTATTCCTCTCCATCCTGCTTTGGTTTTAGGACAGTTTATAGGAAAGGTCCTGCCGAAGGAATCAGGAAATTTAAAATGCAGCCACTTTATAGAACAATGTAATGTAAAACTATGCTTTTAAATTTACCATCTTCTTTGAATAAAAATAAATGGCCAACATACAGAGAGGATTAGGTTTTGATATCCCTTAGCTCTGTAATATAAAGGCAGGCTACCTGAAGCAATTTAACCTTTGGAAGTATGATAAAAATAATATCAAAGAATATAATCAGGAAGATGTACTGTAAATGATCATGATTTTTCAGGCTTTGAATATCCTTCTCACATGCACTTCATGTTCCCTTTTAGTTCAGTAGCTAAGAATTACCAACATATTCTGGCTTTGGCCTTTGCGGTGAAGAAGATCTTGTTCTTCATCTACAGCTACTGTTCAGCTCCATCTGCAGGAAACTGCAGCAGGTCCTAAGTCTGGAATAAAGAGGAGGGTTGTCCCCTTGACAGCACACAAGAAAACTAGGTGTGTATCCATCAACGAGGCGGGTCAAATATGGGCATGCTACTGTATGCAGGCCAACTCATGTATTGAATCTCAGTGGATAACCAGAGGCACAGTGCTGGTGAAAACCTATTCAAAGAATTGATTACAGAACAAAACATACATTTTTGTAACAAAAGTGGACACCATGCCAGTCAAAAGTAAAGCATTGTTCAAAAATGATTACATTACAACATTTCAATAATGTTGAACTGAGACTACCTGTCTCTATGTCCACCGATCACTCCCTTGTGTTAGCAGCCTGAGTGATTCTGGTTGTTCTATGAGGAGACAAGGTTGTGATTTTATCTGTCTTCTAGGTGGGAATGAGAAGGGCATTGAAGGTACAAAAGAAATTCCTACTTTTTGGTTGAGGCTAACATTCAGTTCCTAACTGGCAAACTCATAAGAATGGAAACCAGCAGAGGCATGCCTCCAACACCTAAGAGTGCTGTTGCAGGCCTCATTGTCCTTAGCTGCTGGTCCCTATTGTGGTCGCTAGATGAGGACTACTTGTATATCCTTCCTGGATGCCCAGTTCTGTTTTTATCTATAGTATCTGCCTTCCTTCGGTTTCAAAAATTCATATCAATATTCCTTCTTTTTTGTGTTGTGGAAGAATAACAATCCAGTAAAGTATGAACTGAAACAATAGAGGTGTGAAATGACGTTTTCTTTTTTAAAGACCCAACAGCAGTAATCCCTGGGCTCATAGCCAACACAGCCAGAGCCCTGATAATAGATTGGCAAAGGTTCATAGAGGAGATAAAAGAGGTGCCTCAACAGTCATGATAAATTACATTCCATTAGAAGACAGCTGAAGCCCCCAACTCTATATTGGCAATAGGGTAATCAATCAGACCTAGCCTGGAGACTGGGGCTTAGCCTTGATTTCAACTCTATTTGACATTTTTTCAAAACCAAAATATAGACATTCCTTTCAATATTATGATGAGGTGGATCTCTTTCATACTTCACTTCCTCAAAATGCCAAAATTGTTCTCTGCCTTCTACTATGTTCTTTAGGGTCAGCTTGAAGTGAAATGGCATCCTGAATCCCAGTAACATTCTTATTTCTATAGAATTCTGATTCTAATTTCCAACACATTGAAACACAAAAATCAAAACTTTAACTAAAAAAATCTGCCTTTAAAGAATTTTAACTTTTAAACATCACATTCATTTTACAGATCTTTATTTATTGATTGATGACTGCTGGATTATGGATGTAATAGATACAGATTGAGCTCCCTTTTTGAGTTCCTATTGCTCAGAGAACTAAGGTGCAAGACTGAAAACAGGGAAGATAACCCTACTCCAGCAAGATCAAAATTATAGCTATTTTGTGTATCTTTGAGGACTACTGTCTTGTGCTTGTGGTGAGCAGATGCAAGAGTAGAGTTGAGCCTAAGAGGTAAGAACTGATTATCCTTTCATCTGGGAACTTTATGGCACAGTTCTGACCCCGTCTGAAACTGGGATCTTTACTATTTTTGAAATCCTGTCCAAACAGAATCCTTGCTTTCCCAAAAGCAAAAAAGAAAAGAAGAGGAAAACACAACCCCCCAAAAGTATTTGACAGAAACCAAAAATGGAGCATTGGATTCGACCATATCCAGAACATAAATGTTAGAATAACTTTCTCCAATGTTTGTGTATGACTGGGAATTCTGCAAGCTGTAGTTTCTACATATCTGGAGGGAACCATGTTGGGCGAGGATGGTCTATGTGTTTCCAGCATCCTTTTTGCTGTAGGATATGTCAAGTCTACAGGCCTTCTTTCTAACTAAGTTGGAGAGGAAAGTTCATTCAAAGGTGAATAAAACATGTTTTCCTCAACTACTGTGGGGATTGAAGGGGTAAATATCCTACCCTTTTATTATGCCAAGACTGGCAATTAATGCATCTCTTGGTTCAATCTCCTTTGGATTTTTAGTTTCCAAGTACAAAAGGAAGTGAACAATATTTAAACACACAAATATCTATTTGAAGAGGAGAAAGAATGAAAACAGATGTGGACCTTTCAGATAAATGTGTGATAGATTCTTCTTTTCTAAGGTCCACTTGTATGAGTAGTTTTTTATTTTGTTTTAATCATAAGTGGTCTACTTAAATTTCTGTCAATTAAATTCCTGTCAATGAAATAAGAATCCCAATGCAAAAGTAAGATTTGACTTGCACTGAAGATGGTGCTTGTAGTACCATTGCTGGTAGCTCTGTTCTCTCCTAAAGTATGCAAGGCTTACAATGTGAAATGCAACATTCATACTCCTCATAAGCCACAGCATACCTATCATGAATCGGGAGATGTTATAGTTGGTGGCATAGCATCTCTAGCATCTTCCATGGACAATGCTATAAGTTTCAGTGAGGAGCCCCCACCATCATTGCATGAAGACCTTATGTAAGAACTTTTACTTTGATATATTTTCTTAGAAGATTTAGCAATCGTAAAGCTGCAGCTTAAAGAAAGATTAATTCGCTTAATGTAGAAAATACTCATAGAATCATAGATACTGAAGAAATGGAGGTCCTTCTTGCAGACACTGTGGGGAGTGAATGAGCCACATCTTACACTGTGTGAACTCTGAGGGCATTATGGAAAGCATAAGGCTTAATTCTAGGTAAAGTGATATGATCTCCCTCTTTGTCTAATTACATTTTCAGAGTCTTCTAATATTCCATGTTTTTTCTCTCTACTTCTATATTAGATCAATTTTTCTCACCCTGATCTGATATCTCACTTTCTGACTTAATTCCTGCACCTTTTGTTTCTTTATTCAATTGATTTGCATTAAGTATGTGAAAGACCTGTTTGATCCTATATGTGCCTGTAGCTTCCTTTTTTTTTTTTTTTAATGGACTGTATTTGACTGTATTTGAGGAACAACTAATAAGGAAACATATTAAGGTCCCACTTTTCTTTTTATCTTGTTTTATTTTTAAAAAAAATATTATGTTGTTGTAAATCTTAATACATTATATTATTTCGATGTAGTAATATTTCTGTAATAGTGCTTGAGGATTATTAACACACTAATATATTGATAGCTTGGACTCTTGAGGATAAAAAGAAAAAAAAGAAGTATTAAGTCAATATTAATTGCACTTTGGGCTATCAGTGTTAATGAGTGTAAAAGTATTTGACTTTTTCATCCAGAATAAAATACAGCATTAAAAACAAAAAACAAAAAACAAAACAAAAACTACAGATTGCATTGAAGTATTTATTGTACAATAAAGATTTAATTCTTAAGCTGATTATTTGGTATTTATGTCTCCATTATATTGTTACTTAATACTTTTATTACATATTGATAAAAGAAAAAAAAAGATAAAGTTTCACAACTATTAAAATACCAAAAAATAAGGGGGAAAAAGAACAAGAAAAAAGAGAAAAATCTATTGGGTTTTGTACTTTTCCCTTTTTGTACCCCTCCTAATTTAAAATATTTATAAACATTTGAGCCCCTTAGAAGCCAGACTATTTATGATTACATTGGCCATGCTGCATGATATATTGACTGGACTAGAACCATTCTTGCTTGAATTCGGTTAATTTTCTTTTATATACATTTAATCTAGCCTTTGCTACATATTCTCCAATTTAAATTACCAAATATTGTTGGCATTATATCTTTCTTTCTGTATTTGGCAAAAATTATTTTCGCTGCAGTAAGTATATTTCTTTTAAAATAAATTGTAATGTTTGTTGCTGGTTTTCTTTTTCTGAAATTATAACCAGCAAGAAAAGTTGGAATTTAATTTCAAATTTATATTCCAAAATTTAATGCATTGTACTATGTATATCTTTACAATACTTTGGGGTTTTTTTTCATGTCTACCACACGTGGCAAAATGTTCCATCTGTTTCATGATGTTTTTAACATTTATTACTGTACGATTTGATGGCGCTGTACAGCATTCCTAAAATATTTTAATGTCCCCATTTTCAAAAACTCAGAGTTGAATCAAGATTGAATCATGTAAAAATGAATGCAAGGAAGAAAGTTGGGATACAAGTTTATCACAAAAACTTTAAATGCTCTTGATTTAATTCTATTCGGTACGGGAATCATTAGGGACCTTTTTAAATTCCCTCAGTATTAGCTTCAATCTTTCTTTTTTCTCAGTTTTCTGAAAGCTACCTTGTATGCAAGACTCTCTAAATTTATAGAGTCTCTTTTCATAAACTAGATCTCTGATTCATGTCTCCATCTGGGATTTTCTGAAGCAATTTTATTTATCCAATAAATAATCAATTTTCAGTGTACTGTAAGGATAGGATTTAGGTCCATTCCTCAACAGTGTATGTACTTAGCCATGAGCTATGGCCCGATCACTGATAATCATTTTGGATTTGATTTATCTTAAGCAATATATAGAAGTGACTTTAAAATAGGAGACCACCATCTAAGATGCTTTCTTCAACTTCTATAGATAAACTTAATGGAAACAACCAAAAATGTGTTGCTTAATTTTCAAAAACTATTATCTCTGAAGTTCTTGTCTTTCTAAATACATCATTAAATTCACCTTTGATGTGCTATTTCTATTAATGAGTGAGATACATGTTTTGGCATGCTCAATTTTGAATGTAAGACAAGCCATGCTTTGGTTCTTTCTTTTGAGAATTAATTTTATTGTACATTCATTTTTATTTCTTAGAAGATGTTCACTGATTTCCTAAAATACTGGGCTGCAGAGTACAGAATTCTACATTAGAAAGAAAGAGAATATTGGAATGAAGTTATATTTATCTTTTTTCTAATAATATTCATTCATATTTTTTCTTTATTTTAAGTACATACCACCTTTCAAAGGATACATACTTTGTGAAAATAAATAAGTTAAGAACATATGAAACTTAATCTGGTAAATTTTTTATATCATATAAGATGTTTTGTGGAAACCAAAGGCAATAAAAATGTAGTACAATTATATAGCAATATAATATTTGGAAGCTAAATTAGGAGGTAAATAGATCATCCAGAAAAAGAGTACTGAAGATTTAGAGAACTCTACTCTATCTGTATAGTCTGTCCATGAACTTTGGCACTTTAATACGAGGTTGAATTCTCTTTGGAAGGATTTCTGCCTACTCAGAAACACTATTAGATCACTCATTCCTTATATTAGTGTTTTAGATGAAACATAACTTGCTTCTCTCCTTTAGAGTCTGTTTCCTTCTACACTCACATCCCTTTCTTCAGAGATACCATATTAAATCCTAAGACACTAGGCTGTAATATAATAAATTATTTAATGGAAAAGAATGTATAAGAATACTCCTTTGTTGTATTGTATTGATGCCTGTTATTGATTTATTTTATTTAGAAACCATCTTAGCCATAGAACCGTAGAGGTCTTTGTAGAAATAAAACTTTGGGGCATAAGACAGTGGGCTAAGCCGTCTATCACATCAAAAACCTCAAGAACTAAGAAATGGATCAAATTTCTCTAACATGACAAAGGTGTGCTCTGGAGTCTGCAACCTTTTCTAATTCATTATTTTTATCAAGAAAATAGGGAATTAAATAGTTATATTCCACATTTCTGCTCTATGAGTATTGCCTCACCCAGGTAATCTAATTACTTTCAGAAAGTTATATAAATATTATAAAAATACAATTATAAGGAAGAAGAAAAACTAGGTTGGTTTTGGTTCTTTTGCTTTTCTTTCAGGAATGCTATAAATATTTTCACATAGAATTTATTTTGTATTGTAGTTTACTGCCTAAGAATTACCAACACATTCTGGCCTTGGTATTTGCAGTGAAGGAGGTCAATGAAAGCCCTCATCTCTTACCCAATGTCACCTTGGGCTTCCACATCTACGACAGTTACCGCAGTGCACAGAAGACCTGCCACGCCACAATGTTCCTCCTTTACAACATGGAGAACTTTGTTCCTAACTACATCTGTGGCATCCAGAATAATCTGACAGCAGTGATTGGGGGACTGGACTCCAAAATCTCCATTGAAATTGCAAATATCTTGGACATCTACAAGGTTCCACAGGTAGAGTGTATCAGCCTCAGACTATGTCTAACTCTTGGAGCACAATATCATTTCTTACTTCTCTGCTTCTTCAACATTTTTTAAATCTCTAAGTCAGAGAAAGCCAATGAAACTTTTATTGGTAGTATTTCCCCATTATATGTGTTTCCTCATTACTTTTTTTAAAAAAACAGCTTAAGGTAATTTAATTATTTTTAGCCAAAAAGAAATCAAGTACAACTAAGAGTCCCAGTGAAAAAGATTGTTTATGATTTATGGAAATGTAATAATTTCCACAGGAGCAGTAGTTTAAATCTTGTGCAGCATCTTCTGTAACATCTTAATGGTTAAGATACGGTAATTGATTAAGGTTGGTTCTCTAGACACAAACTATTAGAGGATATAAAAGCCAAAGGGAGAGGGAAGCAGAGGAGTTGCCACGCTCACTACTGTGAAAAAGCAATTGGGAGACCAGTTTGCATTCTGCCTTTTCCTCTAGAGGAAGAGAATGAGCCAAAACTAATGAGCAAATGAAAAG